AACTGGGGTGCTATCATCAGTGAGGCTGGGTCCAGGAAGGTAAGAGAAGCACCCCTTATATATGTCATCCTGCAGCATACAACACAGATGAAGATAAGTTATGAAAAATCCCACGTAACATTGGGGTTGGTTTGTAAGTCAGCGATGATTTGCACTGTTTCCATCTGTCTTTCAACACTGAATTACTTATTCTACTTACGTTACAGGTTTTCTGATTTTTTCTTTTTTCTTTTTTGCTTAGGATGGAAGTCATAGACACTTCTTTCTTTATAAAGTACTCACACAGCAACTCATTTTACACCAGAACTATAATTTTAAACAAAAACCAGACAGAACAAAAATCAGAAAAGCAAGCCAACCAGCCAGACCAGGAAGCCTTAGCCAATATCCAAACTACTTGGTCACTAAAAAAGAAATGACTGTCTGATGTCTAAGTGTTCAAGCCAGACTATGTGGAAAAGGGAAATTATATCAAATCCAAATTTCAAGCTTCAGATGACAACTGTTAATTCCTTTCTTTTCCCTTACAGGCACCACTGTTTACACTTCATATAATGGACAGATTATGTACATGTTAAATAAAATATTAAATAAAATATACCCTTTTTGGTTCATCTTCTGACTGGCCAGTCAGTTCCAGACTTCCCCCCATCTCTTTTAGCTGTGAGACACGGTACGTATGAAACAAAACTGATGATGCTAACAGAGACACAAAGGTCACTGGAGATGTGTTATCAGTAGGTGGCTCTGATTCACGAGCAACTGATTCACTTCTGCAAAATCATTCTGGTCTTGGCTGAGGAATTTGGCCACAATTTGCACACAGAACAGTCTGATGCCCTATCAGACTTTAACCAAAAAGGTAGATCTTGAAGATCTCACAAAACATTTGATCCTTTTTTCCTGGTGATCTATTGTTCTCAACCTGTGGATCATGGACAGTGGTGTTGGCTCAACAGACTTGTAAGTTCCTGTTTAGAAAATCAAAAATGCACTGTATTTTGAAAATTGACAGAATACTCTTAACATCTTCTGTGCTACAGTTGACTTGGAAAGTAATACTTTTCCCATTTTGGATTTATCATTTTAAGTTTTCTTTTATGAGTTTGCCTTTAGCCCTATAAAAATTGTATTTCTCTCTTTCAATCAATTTTTCTGTGAGAATGGAAAAGGACTGTTGCCATTATATGTTCTAACATGTTTGAAGATAAGAAATCATTGAAGATATCAGTGTGCTATGCTGCTACTAAGAATGAAAAGGTGAGGAAGCAGCATATCTTTAGAAGCCTGCAGAAGAACATTTATCTTAGCAATGAATACTGGTCAGGTGATGGTCAAAGTCAAGCCATCCCATTGGTGACAACTGAGTCTAGCTAAAACCTGTTCAGTAAGAGTACATACCAGAACTCTGTTGGACAGACAGAATGTACTCTTTACAAGTTTCCAAGTATCAAGCAAGAGGAAGGGCTTGCTTGATTCAGTTGGATATTATCCAGTTGCTAAGGCGCTGTTATTTGAGAACAGCAGGCTAATTCTTTCCCTTACCTATAATCTGCTCCTCACTATTGACACAGGTTAACAGGCAAAACAGGGATGGTCATCATACTCAGAGATTTTACATCTGATTAGTATGCCTAAGTTTCATACTTCTAACTAAAATTGTTATACTAGAAGTTCAGAAGCTTGGTATATATGGGCAAGTCTTATCACTGAAATCCATCTCAAACTGAATGGAAAGGAAGGGAAAGAGATGTTCTAATGCTAACTAACTCAAATTGCTATAAAAACGTTCCCTATGGAAAGTTTATTAAAGCTGATGTCCTCTCCCACCCACCGAAATGATTGTTTCCATGTTCATTTGGTGTCAGATAACACTTTCATTCCAATTACGTTTAAGTCTGTATCTTTGCATCAATATAAATACAGTTTTAAAAGTAGCAAGGCTTCTAAATGTTCTTGCTAAAACTCTAGTCTTTTATGGAATTTTAAATAATAATTATAGACACATTTGGGAAGCCATTATGGGACAGGAAGATGAGGAGGAAAAAAAGGTGGCTTTAGATATACACTGTCTGTTAGTTAAAACAAGACATTCCTCATGCAATGTATGCCATAGAAATAACTGTATTTCTTATGATCTGTATTTCTTTTCAAGGGACAGGTGATACCATAGCTATGATCCTACTTTTTTCTTCAAGTTGCTTTTGTGTCCATTTCAATGGTCTCTTGAGGTATGTTTTAGCTCACTCAGCCATACAGACTTATTGTAGGTTTCACTCCAGTCTGATAGCAACATTCTATCATGGTCTCTTTCACAATGACCTCATACCCCTATTATCAGTCTAAAAATCAGAGAACTGTTATGGAGGACAGAATTCTCTGTCTGGAAGAGTGGCAGCGGTAGAGTTCATCAGAGAAGAGCCTATTCAAAATTTATTGCTGGGCCTGCAACTTTATCTCTAACATTCGGTACAGATCACCAGGTAACTATACAAAAGAACAGTGTTTATGCCAACTTGCATAGAGATGGTCTGGGTGCTGAGTGTTTTTGGTGCTCCTGCTACATGATTCTATCTAATAGCACAGTGGTGTATGCCGACGTCATGATCATTTTCTCTGTTTTTGACAAAACCTAGTTTATAAAAAGTCTAAATCATGCCTCTTGAGCAATGAAGGACTGAGGGCCCTCAGAAGAAGTATATGTGTGGGCAGATAGTCTCTGGTGAGAAAATATGAACTGGACATAAGGCACAGGTTACGGTTATGGCAGTAGCAGGCTAACCAAACAGTGTTTTCACGCAGTGCATTGAGAGCATAGGAGAAAAAGTTACCATTCACTCTGCTCTAAATCACCCAGAATTCAGTGTTCATTTCTTCTCAGTGATACATTCTTTAGTTTGAAGTGTCAACAAGAGTAAGCTTTGGTCAATGCTCTTGGTGAGGCTGATAGAGCAGAGTATGGACCTACTCTAAGTATTTCCATATTGATTCCTTAATGAGCCATAAAAAACAAGTGGAAACTCAGTCCTTAACAGGAGCAGGAATCTTGGAGTTCTGCATTAATCCACTGACTTCAATTATTTTTTGTGTCATGCTTCGAAATTTCAGTCAATCCCTGCAGAGGGCAGTAATGATTTTTTTTTTTTTCTCTGAGCACAGATTTTCTACAAGATTTACTTTTTTCCCCAGTAAATCACACAGTGGATGAGATGAATAAGCACTCTGAAGTGGTACAAATTATCTTTCTTGTTAGGTGTATGTGTGATATGTGTTGCTTCTATAATCAGATTTATTAAAAACTTGATCTAAGATTGGAGGAAAACTTTTTTGGTATTTAAAGCAAAATAAATATTTTTGACCCATTATTCATGCATATAGTGCAATATAACTGTTTCAGCTCATTATGGAGGTATTTCTGTGAAGTTGGATGAATGACCAATGAGGTACAGAAATCTATACTGCATACCCAATGGTCCATTTGTTCTTTACATCTTTGAAATCTGAGCAGTGTGTTAATCCCCAAGTGAAATCAAAAGACTTCATAAGGCCTTCAGTGACACTCAACATGGATGACAATGGCTTTGTATCCTGCCATGTATTACAAAAAGAAATTTATTTGAACTTTTGTAGTAGAGTAGGTATCTTGGTTGTAGCTCACATTAATAGTGAACATACCTGACTATTTAACATAATGGCTGTTTAATTTGCCAAATTATTTGACTCTGTAAATTTTCTGTTTTGAGTCAAATTATCACAATAAGTTCTATTTCCTGTGACAATACACTATCACAGCAAAAGGCTGAATTCTTTTGAAAAAATTAAAGTACACCTGACAACAAGAATATCTACCTACTCAATGACATGACAGGTGCAGCTAGTAACGTATGATTACTTAAAAGTATGTTGTCAAAGTATCATTGAAGGTGTTCACATTCAGGTGTGACAAGTCCTTTTAAATATGTTCACTGGTTGTAAAAATACTTACAAAGTTTTTTCTGCCATCTCAAATGCCACTCACTACAGCAGTTTTAGAGCAGAACTTAATTCTTATGGGTATTTTCACCAGCAAAATGTTCAATAAAACCATGCCCGGGGGGGGCCCCCCCCAAAGGAAAGAACGGGTAGAACTCTCTATATAATAGTGACTTTCTCATCCAGTGAGTTGCAAATGAACTCAAAATACATATATTTTTCTTTCAGAACTTCATTCGCCTTTCCACAATCTAACACGCATTCTTAATGACTAATAAGTGCATTTTCTGAATAATTGATTGAACCACTATTTTATCCCTCACCCTAAGCATGGAAAGAATGTCATTCACATTTGATAAACACAGTCCAACTCTGCGTGTGGTGTATGTGCACATAAAGAGTGATCACATTTATTGCCTCTTTTTAGTGATATAAATCATAAGTGTTATGAACATGATTCTTCCATTACCTCACAGGGTAGGGACATAAAACAGGATTTCTAACCTTCGCGGCCTTTATCAGTTCTGAAAGCTTCTGAGAAAGTTAATGGCTGAAAGCAGATAGCTTTAGCATTACTTCAGGCACATGATTCCATTCCATAGTTTACCTTGACATACTTTTTAAAACAATTTCTTTCTTGCTTTGCTAAAAATTTTGTAAAAACATTAAATATGAGATGCTCTTGACAACTATGCACTACTAAAAATAAAATAAAATTCATCAACGAAAACAGAATGACATCAGGTAGTAAAACAGTGTAGTCACTTGCTTTTTTAAAACAAACAAAAAAAATACTCTTGCAACATTTGCAACATTTAAAAAAGTCAAACTGTCTGTATTTCTACTTCATCTGAATTATTCTGCTTATTAACTCTGAACAGTATTATTAGTATTTGATAGTTACTCATAGTACTGTGAGCTACTGAACAATTTAATGTGGAAAATAAAAGCACGACATTTACATAAAAATCCAAGAGAAAAGATGTGTCTTTATTTGAAAAATTAATGAAAAAAGTACAAATGCTTACCTTTGTGTTTGGGTGGCATAACTGTTATCATATGTCTCATAGCTTGGATCATCATATTCACCCCCATATCCATCATCATATCCCTAAGGGAAAAACAAAACACCAAACCTTAGAAGAGTGTTAAATTAACGAATATTATCAAGCTGTAAAAGTAACCTGTATCAGCATATACATGCTATATTTGTCTAGTATTATGTAGAACACGCAGCTTCCTGACAGGAATTGTGAATTGTGAAGAACAATTTACACAGTGCAAGCATAAAGAAACCAATTACTCATCTAAGAATGAAGTTTATTCATTGACAAACCGTAGTGTATTGTCCAAACCACAGTGCTTCAGCAGGATCTATTTAGCTCACTGATGAATGATAATGAAAACAATCATTTTCCAGCAATTGGTTATATAAATGGTTGCATAAATACCTATAGGAGAAATGAACAAATGGCAGGACAAATATACTGACCGTACGATATAATAACAGAGTAAAAAGGACATATTCTAGGGATGCTTTTTTATTTGCTTGAGACTACATTCATTCAACATCGGAACAACAGAGTAGTCAAGAAATAATACATGGAAACACTTTTTCTATACAAATTTTGGGAGCTGACACTTTTTGTTAACTAGAAAATTTTCCCATTTTGTAAAGTGCGAAAGGAATTAGGAGGCTTAAAAATCTACGACTAAACGCTAATATTTATAGCAGAAGACAATTAGGATTTTTTTTAAACAAACTATCCAAAGTTTAGTTAGGGACAGCAGGAGGTAGCTGTGAAATAATAGAAGCCCACTAAATATCCACTCCAGCTTACTATCATAACTACAAAAGTACAATGTTAGTTTGATACTTCATTCATTCTGCTAATTAAGGGGAGCTTATAAACTGGAGGGAGACCAAGTTTTTACATGCCTAAATAGTGACAGGACAAAGGGGAATGGCTTTTAACTAAAAGAGAGGAGATTTAGTTTAGATGTTACGAGGAAATGCTTTACTCAGAGGGTTGTGAGGCACAGGTTGTACAGAAGCTGTGGATGCGCCATCTCCGGAGGCAATCAAGGCCAGGTTTTGAAAGGGGCCCTGGATAGCCTGATGTAGTGGATGCCATCTCTGCCCAGTGCAGTGGAGCTGAAACTAGTTTGACTTTCAGGTCCCTTCCAACCCATGACATTCTATGACTCTATAAGTGAGCTACACTAGAACATCCATTACAGAAAACGGGACAGCACTGCAGATGGTAATTCCACCTCTAAGACATTCACATCAGCTTGCAGAAAGGAAACATTCTCCTGGTTTGATGCGGAGCATGGCCCAAGCATAACCGGTTGAAGAAGGGAAAGGTCATGCAAGACCGGAGAATGGGATGAGGTACAGGTCTGGTAGATATCTTATAGTCAATAACGAGAATTGTCCCTAGCCACGCAGGCTGGATAAGATTGCAATTACGCCTTGGTCACTGCACTCGCCTTGCCTTTGCCTAACAACTTGTGGCCTAGTGCTCATGTCAAGATGTCAAGGGCCTGAGCTGTGACTGGAAGTTGTCAATGAAAAGAGAAAGTGCTGCCTTTGGCAGAAACATGGAGGCCATAAATCATGTGATGATTATTATATACACGATCCATCATGTTTTTGGGAACTGAAAATGAGGTCTTACGGAACCAACAGAAGTTTCTCTGCTTATCTGCAGACATGTGTTTTTCATACTCACGCTTATCTTAGTTTGCATACCTTCTAACTGTTTGCCCCCACCTTGCTTATCATGCCAATTCACACATAAAAGGGCTAAAAGCCAGGATGCTGGAAGACAGCTTTGGGAGCTCCTCTCAGCTGGCCTGAGAACCACCAGCCGTGGTTCACCAACAGCGATGCACACATTGATGACACAGGTCATATAACCTTTCCTACTCCTATATACTTTCCCCAGAATCTGTAGCCTTACCCAATCTAATTTACCCTTACCTACCCTCATCTACCTCCCCCTCCCCCCACTCACAAATACTGATTACTCATAGGCTAATACACTGCTTGCTTAGAATACATGTGATAACAGATCATATGTACAACAGTTTGCTCAAAATTCATTTAATGAATTGTTTGGGAGCACCTGAACTGTATCAGTGAAATGCACTATATTCACTGTCTTCTTGCTGGGTGAAACAAACCAGGAAATGGAGTGAGACAGTAGAGAGATTGGGGAATAACCTCTTCCAAGCTCTGAAGTCCACACAAGCCTCATTATCTTCTATTGCAGTGGAAGTGCATCATTTTTTTTGGCCTTCATTAGCGTAAATTAATACCAAAGCCGTATAGTCAGACACATACTCCTGCACGCTACAGTGGTATATTGAATACTACATGATTTAATATACAGGATTAAATACGTATGATTAAATATACAGCTTTTGAGGACAGGCTGAGAACAATAATGAACCATCCAAAACAGATGTTAGTCACATCGACTAGTGTACTTCTGAATAGAATCCAGCCACTGTAAAGATGAGAATGATGCAAGTCTGTATACAAAGTGGAATAACAGCTAGAGGAATGACATTTCAGCATGCTTACCCAAGATATAAGAGAAAAGGAAAGGCAAGAAATTAGCTCTCTGAGTGCCTTGATGCCTGAGGAGGATCAACTTTTAGCACCAGCAGGGCAGAGAACTATTGTAACAAATTTTAACAGCCTCCTGAAGGGCTCAGTAGGTCAATATAGTGCAAATGTTTCAAGTGAAATGGTTGAAAAACAAGGAAATTGTAAAAAGCATGTTTCTTTGATAAAGTATCTTCCAGATAACATTCTATTATTTGTGTAATTCTGTAAGACAATTATCTTGTAATACTATTGGTGAACTATTTATTAGCATTTGTTTCAGTTTAATGTGCTGCATCACCCAGAAACCCTTGTTCTAAGGTAGCCTTAGGCATCTAGAACCAAGATGCAGAACACCTTTTTTCACATCCCTAAAGTGCCTCAAACTAGCTGAGCATTTTTCTTCTGTTTAACCTTCAACTTCCAAGCACTTTAAGCTTTAATGTTTGAAAGTATTTCTTTCATACACAGTTTGAGAAACGAGACACCCAGGTTCCATCTTTCAGCAACTAGGATTTGCTCTAGTCTTACAGCAGAACATCTTGAAAAGGAGAAAAATGAACAGAAACATATGTATAATCATAAAATAGATTTGCTTGAGTTGGAAGGGACCCTTAAAGCTCATCTAGTCCCACTCCCCTGCAATGAACGTGGTCATCTGCAGCTAGATCAGGTTGCTGAGAGCCCCATCCAACCTGATCTTAAATACTTCCTAGGATGGGGCATACTCCACCTCCCTGGGCAACCTGTAACAGGACTTCACTACCCTTCTTCTTCCTTATATCCAGTCTAAGTCTTGCCTCTTTTAGCTTGAAACCACTTCCCCTTGTGCTATCACAACAGACCTTGCTAAAGAGTCAGTCTCCTTTGTTATAGCCCCCCTTTAGATACTGAAAGGCCACTATCAGGTCTCCCCAGAGCCTTCTCTTTACTAGGCTGAACAACCCCAAGCTCTCAGCCTGTCCTCACAGGGGAGACATCCCACCCCTTGGATCACTTTTGTGGCGCTCCTCTGGATGCACTCCACCAGGTCCTTGTCTCTCCTGTACTGAGGGCTCCACATCTGGACACAGTACTCCAGATGAGGTCTCATCAGTACAGAGTGGAGAGAAAGGATCTGCTCCCTCTATCTGCTTGTCACTATTCTTTTGATGCAGCCCAGAATACAGCTGGCCTTCTGGGCTGTGAGGGAAAATTGCTGGCTCACATCCAGTTTGCCATCCATGAGTACCCCTGGTGCTTTTCCGCAAGGCTGTGTTCAATCCTTTCGTCTCCCAGCTTGTATCGTTAGTGAGGGTTTCCACAACCTATGCAAAAATCTTACATGTGGCTTTGTTGAACCTCATGAGGTGGACCAGTGCCGACAGTTCAAGCCTAAATCCCTCTGGATGACATCCTGTCCCTTGGGCATTTTGACTGCACCATGCAGCTTGGTGTCATCCACAAACTTGCTGAGGGTGCCTTTGATCCCACTGTCATTGTAATTGATGAAAATATTAAGAAACATTGGTTGCAACACCGAATGGCACTTAGACACCAATCTCCATCTGGACACTGAGCCACTGACCACCACTCTCTAGATACGATCTCACAACCAGTTCCTTGTCCAATAAACAGTCCACCCAACAAATCCATATATTTCCAATTTGGAAGGAACGATATTATGGGGAACTATGTCAAAGACCTGACTGAATTTCAAATAGATGACATCAGTGGCTCGTCCCTTGTCCATTGATGTAGTTACACCATCACTAGGTTGGTTATGTAAGAATTTACCTAGTTGGAACTGCAGTGGGGCTAATGATATTTACTAACCAAGTACCAATGGATTTGAGGATTTTCATGTGGTTCAGAACTAAAAAAGTAATGTAAAAAAGTGAAAGTGTTGAAGAAAATTAAAACATTTTCAATCCAAGAAAGGACTAATCATTAAATAAGAATATTTAAGTATTTGCCATCACTTCCCAACAAAGACAAGAAAAACTCTTAGAAGGTTCAGAATAGTACATTAAATCAGCATTGGGAACACTCACTTCAGGAGTAAATACGCAGTTTTATAACACAGAAGATGACAGTCAGGGGAAAAAAAGGGTGTGCTAGAGAAAAAAGGAACACAAGTGGAAATAGGCTTATATTCTGCTACCTTAGGAGCAGCTAAGTATCAATTTGACTCAACATCCAAGATATATTTAGGAAAGACTTTTTTAAAAATTCAGGTTTACTCAAATCTCCAAGCTTCAGATGCTGATACAGATATTAAAAACACAAATAAAGAATAACAGAGACAACAAAAACAATGCTTTCTCTTTAAATCTGAGTTTTCTATTAAGTGTTAAAACCCTATGTTAAAAAAATAACAGCATTGTTTAAATCACTTCTTCTCTGAAAAACCTTACAAAATAGGATTTTCACAACATGCTTTGAAAAAAATCATAGTTTTCATCTCTCAGAAACAGAATCACAGAATGCCCAGAGTTGGAAGGGACCTCAAGGAT